ATATATAATAGATTTCAAATAAAAAAAATTATATAGTTTTTGAATGAAAAAAATGTTAAATTTTTCTTGTTCATCTTGTTTTCGATCTCGCAATCGGAGCTCACGTAACCCGACCGTCGACCGCCATAGCAGCAGGAAACGCCGCTGTATGTCACTAGGTAAGTTGTGTAACCGTGCCGCAACGCTGAAGCCGACTTTACTCAGACTGCACGCTCTATTCCCTATGATCTTTGCCTCTAAGGCCGAACGACAAACGAGCCTTTGCCTAAAAAAAACTAATGTCACAGTAAACAGATACATAAAAATGGACGCTGTTTTGAAACAATTCAATGTATTAAAATTGGTTATTACACTATTTAATAATTTAAATATTTGATACATTAGTTAGTCAGGAATGTATAATTCACGCAACGTTTTAATTTTGGAGGGAAAAAATAACAACGGCCATTTGCAATACAGCAGTATAATGGACAAAAGCATGGCTCATAGAGCCAAATTAAAAAAACATAAAATAAGTTTATTATCTTATGTATAAAGGCTATCAAGTTCAGATTATATTTTGAATTACCAAATAAGATATTAAGGAAAATAAATAATCTGATTAAAGTCACATTTCCAAGTAAACCTTCGTCTCAAGTGTGTATTCTAGTTAAATTTGTAACTAATGTGGGTTAGTGAATGTAGTACTATGAAGGCTATTTAATTTTATACGTATTTTTCTAAACATCATTTCAACGTTTATTAAAAAAAATCTCCCTAAAAAAAGTTCTCACGTTTACGTATGACTAAACAGTTAGAGGTTAAAAAAAAACATAAGTTCAATCCCCTTTAAGTTTTTTTGGCGAAAAAAAAAAACATTTCACCAGCATGTCATTGATATACGTGACAGCTCTTAAGTACTGGCAGCTAAGCATAATTTTTGGCCATTACAAATTAAAAAAAATCTTTTGTTTATTTTAAAAGTTTCATGTCTATCCATTGTGTTTCTTCAATGAACATTTCACCTATCGTTCATGATAAATGACGCCATATTTATTCATCGAACATTAATTTCGATTTTATTTCATTTGCTTTAGCGAAAGTCATTGCGGTACTGTGATTGAGATTTATGCGCGGGAAAGTCACATGATGGTCGACCGTTTAATACAACAGCTTTTTTGTTTTATTTCACTTCTTAATAACAGTATTAAAACTTTTATAAAAGATTACTAGATTAGCTACCATTATTTTTTGCAATCTAATAAGTAGGGTGCCATTGGAAAAAGAGTTTATAATATGTATTTGCAATGTCATTTTAGCAATCTCTGTAGTATATTAATTATATTAGTTACGAGCTATTTTTTATGCCTTGTTTAACACGTTAAATGCTACTAAGAATTTTTCGTATGGAAGTCAAGAGCCATACAAGTCCCTAGAGAGTTTTATAGTTCCTTTTTTGTCTTTTATTTTCTATTTTTTATTCATTGCTTAAAATTTAGTTTTATAATATTTGATGCGAGACTTGGAGGCCGTCAGAGTTGATCAGTTCTGAGGTCGCATGCCACCGGATACTGTTTCAATGACACTGTGTCATACTTGATTAGTTTTTAATGTCATAAATACGTTTATTTATCTACGTTTCGAACGGGGACAGGAATTCTTCCGGAATCCGAGTAAATAATAGTGTAAATAAACCTAATAGGACGATAAATTAAAAACAATCCATTATCATCTCTTTACCAATTATGTGGATTGATGTTTGTTTGAAGGTATCTCCAGAACACCTCAACAGATCCGGCTGTAATTTGGCATACACGTAGAACATAGTCTGGAAGAACTATTATTTTTTTTAACTCCGCGCGGAGTCGCAGGTGATAGCTAATCACTAATGTATTGCAAATTAAAACCTTGTTAAATACGACGAGTAATGTTTTGATCAGAACTATTTTAATGAAGTTGTTCACTTGTCAATTTGTGATATATTGGATTCTAATATACAGTTGATAACAGACCAAGTTAAAGTTAATGTCAGTTTATGATTAATATCTATATAAACATGAATATTGATGAATTTATTATGATACTTTGTATTTGAAAAGGATAACAAGGTTACAGTATCCCCCATTATGAAGTTAAAAGGAATAAAAAAATCGATTGTGTTTTGTTTTAATTTCTGTTGGGAAAGTACATGTATACGTATTCCAGTGCGGACTGTTCAAGTCCTCTCTATACACGCTGAGCTGGCTCTCTTTGCCACACTTTTTCTTATAATTGTTATTATAAATCTGTGGTACGTATTTTTTATCTGTGGTAATAAAAGTGGCCTAATCACACTTAACTTAGGGTAGGCTCCGAGCCCCTCGGTGGGGACGTATCGTGAGCTGATGATGATGAATAAAAGTGTTACTTCTTTCTTTCTTTATAATCTATGAAGTCCATTGCGAATGTAAGTAAGGACTAAGCAAATGTTTTTAATACATGTATTTCAAGAGAAATCTACGTTTATTTGTGTAGATGGTACCTCAATGATCATTAATCATCTACACATACTTAGATGAAATATAATTTTTTGTCTTCAAGACGTTCGTCTTTGACCGATATTTCTTGTGCTTGACTCTTAGTAGCAACGATCTTTGATGTTCTTTAATAGATCTTATTTAAAGTTTACAGTTAAAGTTAGTTTCTTTGCATAAAAAATCGCTATTGGAATGCTACATTGTCAGTAAATAAAATAGTTTAAAACAAATTTGATATAAAATATATCAAAATAAATGTTGAAAAAACCAGATCTTTGCAAAACTTGTAGGCTACTAGAAACAAATAATTAAATGAAAAAAAGAAGTCATTTTATTTTTACACTTTTTAATCGCTCTATTTCAAAATCACCTCCTGTTACGACTTAAATCCTTCGTCATAAATATTTGTTAATGCATTAAATGGCTATAATATTTCTTGATCGTAACTCATTGTAATCAATGTGACCATGAACTCACTTGATGGCTACAACATTAGTCGACAGTAGACATCAATTTTTCATTTATTAAATTAGTTAAATAAATAAAAATACTGACAAAAAGATTTATAGAACGATTACTACTCTCTCTAAAAAAATATACAATAAAATTACGTGAACATTGACCCGCGCTGGACGCACCGCACGCAAGGATTAAGGCTCGGTACAAACGGGCCACCGACTACATCCTATAGTAGAGAGCGATTAGTTCCCAATGATTTTCATACATTTTATTGCGTCACGTGTGCGTCGCGAACTAACAAAATGTATGAAACATCGTGTGAAGAGCTTGTCTATGGCCACCGGTGGCTATGGTCGGTGGCCGGTTTGCGAACCTAAACGGATGCCAATCTGTCTTGATGCAATGCGGCGCGGATGATGGAAGCAACGTTATGTAAAATTATACATAGCAAAGTGAACTTTGCTTGCCGTGCGTGCGGTGCGTCCCGTGACGCGTACCTTAAAAGTTATATACAAATAAAATTTTAATAATATTATTATACATGAAGAGCGTCGGTGGCTCAGGGGTTAAGCAATCTGCAGGTCCTGGGTTCGAATCTCGCCATGTACCAATGTGTTTTTCGGTTTTCGATTTACATATGTACATTTATCGGACGTTCTTACGGTGAAGGAAATCATCGTGATGCAACCTTGTACATATCTGCGAATAAATTCAAAGATATATGTCAAGTCAACCAACCCACATTGGGCCCGCGTGGTTGACTATGGCCTAATCACCCCTAACTTAGGGTAGGCTTCAAGCCCCTCGGTGGGGACGTATACTGAGCTGATGATGATGATGAATATTATATGCAGCACATATTTATAAACTTGAAAACTACAGCGTGAATTAAATAAATAAATTTAATATACTTTGTTGCTTTTGATAATATTGGAAAAACACGTATTCATAATAACTTGAGAAATTTTGCAACATGTTAGTCATAGACTATTGTTATGAAAGCACTTTGTCTATTGTTCAATCTATCCGGAACTAAATCAATCCATCCTTAACTCAACTATCTTAATTGACAATTTGCAATTTTATAGGATACTAGTTGTTGCCCGCGACTCTAATCGGAATTAAGAAAAAAACAAAATTAGTAGCCTATGTGTTCTTCCAGATTATGTTCTACATGTATTGTAAATTTCTTCGAGATCCATTCAGGCGTTCTAGAGATACCTTTAAAAACATCCATCTATGTAAACATTCGCATTAATAATATTAGTAGGAAATAGGATAAATTGACAAATGTTTTGTAAAGAAAACAACAGAAGTATCGAAAATATAGAACATATAACAACTTTTTAAATAAAACTTACAAGAATATAACTTTATCGTATAGATTCGTGTGTTCGTGTTTTGAGATACATCTCTCTCTTTTCCTCCAAATCTCTTACCGTATTTTTTCTCTCTATCATGTAACGCTTAAAATAAACGTGACGCGTCCTTGAAATTTCACTCGTACAATCTCTATTAAGTTTCACTGAAATAAAAATATGATTAAATCACATCTCATCTCTCTATCTTTAGATTTAGATAAGAATTATATCTGTTTTTATTACATTTTATCTTATTTTGTAATGAAATGGTTGATGAGTACATTTTTATTAACATACTCTGTTCTCGATTGACAAGATAGGTTTTGAAGCGTGAAATGTGAGAACTAGAAAATATTGAAGAGGGAGTGTTAGTGTAGATTTATAATACTGAATTTGCACTAAGTGACTCCAACTATTGTACGATTCTGGATGTGGCAATAAAACGCTTAGCAAAATAGAAGTTTACAATACGTGACAAATACACGAGATAGAAAGAGATAGGTAATAGATTGTCAACTCCGCCGTTACTTTTTTCCGGACTTTAACACAGAAGTAAACAGAAAAACAAAACAGTCTAGAAGTGAAGTTGTGAGATAATAGAAAAAAATATAAATTAAGTTAAAATAACAACTTTATACACATTTTACATCTATGGCATGGAAATATTAATTGATATTGTACATACTTAAAGTGATCCTGAAGTTTTTTCTTTTCGACGATTGTTGATCTGAAAAAAAAACAGAAATATAGTTTACGAGTTTGTGAATTATTTTAAAAATAAATAATGACTTTTGTCAAATCTAATCTTACTAATATTATTAATACAAATGCTTGGATGGGTTTATAAATGGATGTCGCTTAAATTTGGTATAGATGTAGAACATAGTCTGGAAGAACACAGGCTACTAATTAAGTTTGTTTTTAATTCCTCGGACGGTATCGCTGGTGACAGAAGGGCCGCGGACGAGAGCGAAAGCGTGCCCGTGGTCCCGTCCCGATGCGTTGGACGAACAGAGGGGTTTAGTTGGTATGCCTCCGTTATGGAATAGTATCCCACATAACTACCGCGTCCCCCCCGGGGCGCGGAGTATGCATAAAGATTTCCCCCTTGAAAAAAAAAGGTGACAGTTAGAAGGTAGGTATTTTTTCCATATAAAATGTAGACTATACGATTTGCGGGCATGTTACAAACAGCGTTCAATTCACCTGTGACATATGTCATTAACAACACGCAAGTTTCCCGCCATTTTTTACGCATAGAATTTTATTGATCGTTTTAATTTATTTAATGGCATTTTCATTAGTTAGCAATAATATTCTAAATATTACAGCTATGATACTTTATATCTACGATAAGGATAAATTTAGGCATATATTATGTAAATATTAGCTTTATAAAAAGCGACAATCAAATTAATATGATCTTCTATCTATGTAGATATGTTCATGATAGTAAAATTATTAGAGTAACAATTTTTTAGTTAAATTATAGTCCTCTTAAGAGCAGCTATGAAAGAAGGTATATTTTAAACTAGCTGTCGCCCGCGACTCCGTCCGCAAGGAATTAAAAAAACCTAATTAGTAGCCTATGTGTTCTTCCAGGTTATGTTCTACATCTATGACAAATTTCTGCGAGATCCATCCAATCTGGAGATACCTATCAACAAACATCCATCCATCTATACTTCGCATTTATAATATTAGTAAGAAGTAAGATTTTTTACTTTAAACTTTTGGTAATAGGGCTGGAAGTTAAATAAGAAATGAGGTTTTATATCAATAATTTTGATGACAAAGCAATGAGGTTATTATATTTTTATCCTACAAATGTCTGTTATATACATCCAAGAAATATTTAAAAGGTTATCTGGAACTAAATTCATTAAGAAACAAAACAATATTGTTTACATTTTAAAGAATAATCAACGGAAAATATCGGGTTCAATGAATTATGAAACAAACGAAATCAAGTTTAAATTAACTCCAATTTTAAAGTTACGTAACGCGTTGTACTCGTAATATTGTTGTTTCTTTATTTCCGTTGATTTTATTCGTTATATAATATTGTTAAATTGTTGTTCTGATTTTATAACCGAATTATAGTAAATTAAAACTTTAAATAACGGCTGTGGGAGGTAAAAAGCCAGCCATCGAAAATCTACAAATTTCTTTTTATAACTACAATTTTTTGGAAGAATAATTACTCAATGATTTTCCATTAAGTGTATTTGTATTTTCCTTACGTACTTTGATGTTTACCTTACTGCATTAGCAATTTCAATCGGGAGAAGTTAGCAACATTCAACATCATGTCCGACGAAGTCCATCCAAGTATGCCTTAAAGAGTAAAGTGGGCATGCTAAGCTATCATGTACCATCTTTCAGTTACATCATTACTTAACATCATTTAGAATTGGTCAAAGGTTGGCTTATTATATCACCATGTATGTTCACGATAAACTCCGAAACTACTGAACCAATTCTTATTAAATTTTGTAAGCATCTGTAATTTGTTTCAACTTGGGCTTTAAGATAGTTTTTATCTCAATTATTTATCGGTTAGTTCTATAAAATTCTGCATGGATCTCGCTGAAATTTAGCATAGATGTAGAACATAGTCTGGAGGAAAACATAGGCTTCAAATTAAGTTTTTTTTTTTTAATTTATTCCGCACAGATGGAGTCGCCGGCTACATTTAGTTAAATATAAATAAACAAAAATAAATTTCAACTTTAGTTCATTTCCAGACATCAGTAATTTCTTTAGCTCTCAAGTTTTTAGTGTCAAATTTTCGATACGGTTTTACTCTCGTCTTAAATAACATATCTTAAAGGATTACGATATAAAATTGTCCCGTGAATAATAACGAAACTGAATGCAGTCAGCTCGCGATAATTTCACTTGCAATAAACATAATGTAACAACCTTTAACTTCCTTAGATGAAAACCCTAGAATTCACTTGTCACTGGGTCACGTTAGGGTTGACACTTCGGACATCAACACACGACCTTTGAATTAGACAGTTGTTCAATAATATTATTGCTGCAGGCAATGATAATCGATTAGAAAGATGACCTTGACCAATTTTTTATTAAATATTTTATTACTTCTTAATTTTAAGATCTAAAGTAAGTTAAAAATAAACGTATATCTCATAATTTGATACTAATATACAAATATTTCTTAAAATAGTAATAATAATACATACAGGAGTTCAAAATCAATGCATATTTTGTTTGTGACAACCCTATTTTAAAAGCCTTTCATAGGATGTCGCAACAACTGGTTTTTCGCCGACTGGAGAATTGGTATTTACGGTCAACAGTCTTAACAGTATCAATAGGGTACAGTCGCGTACAGTCGCAATCTTTCATATCACTTTTGTACAAGCACGTACAAAAATCTATACAAAATCTGTCGCATTCAATCGACTGTAGTACAGTCGCATCCATTTGAGTATAGTGCTATCCAAATTTTATGACGCCTCTCAATTTCAGTTGTGATACTACGCAGAAATTTCGAACAGAAGTGTACGCGTGGCCAGGAACGCGTTATCCGTACTAGAGCTATACGCGTTGCCAGCGAGTACCGAATGAGCGTAACACTGGAACGCACAGTCCGTATGCGCTAAGGGAGCGTTTACACAAGCAGATTTTCTCGCACAAGCCACGTTTGAATTCTTTAATACAGTTGTAGACACTGGCGATAGATAATACAAGATATAATTATGACGCAAATAGTGCTATAACACATTCTCTACTGACCATCGCTAATAGAGCTGTAGTTATCAACAAGTTACCTTGACATATCAATATTAAAAATACCGATTTAAACTAAGCATATAATTAATAAGTGCCGATACATACTAGTCGCCCGGCTAATACTGCAATGCCAAATTTAAAGTATAGACTGACAAGGATATCCCGCTGGTCATAAGTCAAACTAAATTAGGTTACCAGCGTCCATCTGACAATGTCAAAAAATTGTCACAAGGTCCTTTTCGTACGGTAGCTGTAATCATATTTTTACGTCATTTTATATGCCTAAGTACTGTTAGGAAGATAATCCGACACTGCCGGTGTACTGGCGCAACACTAGCCTTACTAAAATGCCAATGTTTATATATGTCACTAATCCTTCTGACACTGGACTTTGTAACGAATGCGCGTCATTCGCGCTAAAGGATTCTAACTAATAATGTCTAAAAGTACGTATTATCAGTGAGCCTAGCTCGTATTTTAGTAATAGACAAATCGTCATCGTGAATGATGTAAAAACTAGCTGTCGCCCGCGACTTCCGCGCGAAGTTAAAAAAAAAACTTAATTATAACAGTATCCTAAGAGTTTTTCTAATAATTTTATACATCTATGCCAAATTTCAACGAGATCCGTTCGGGAGATACTTACAAATAAACATCCATATCTAAACATTCGCATTTATAATATTAGTAAGATTGGTATGAGAATTTTACTTTACGTCTGATACCGCTGCACAATTTAATACTGTCGATGATAAAAATATGCGTCATAGGCCCGGCCGTAAGTATCGATGTTCAGTCAATTTAACGTAAAAAAAATATATCAAACGAAAAAGTCTATGAAAGCCCAAATTTTTGTCCAGTGTGCGGCCCACTTCTAACCACGATAGCAGCGCCCTCTCTATGGTCCACCTTATCCTATATGGCCACCGGCACACAAAGACACAATTATTTCGCAGTGGAATTTCACGCTTAACAGATTATACACATGATTTTAAATTATTTAGAAAATATATAACAATGAATGGAAGGATTTCTAAAATTGTCGAAATACGGCGATCAATTAACACGTGTCTTCTAGCACTTCCATGTTAAATTTGTAATATTCAAATTGCGTAAATTATACATTTATAGCGTATTTCTGATAGTTTTTAACCGTTTTTGAACAGAATTATTTGGTTTCTTGTTTTAGAAACTAGCAAATTGACTCTAAAAGCGATTGCCATTTTATACCTACATATAAGAATATTTACAGATCACAAATATCCTTGCAAAACAGTGTATGGTCAAACTTACGTATGCGCAAACTATAAGCCAGCTTTCACGTGCGTGAAAGACAAAGTTTTCACACTGACACTTTTGTTGTATACTTAACCAAAACGTGATCTTCTTAATCATATTTCAGTATTAAAACATTTACTTAATCTCAAATATTTAGTTTACCAGTATAAAAAAAGTTACATTAAGTTAATTTAAAAGTTAATTTTAAAGTAATATTACCATAAAGTATACCATAAAGTTTACAGACAAAAAATATAAACAACAACAAGTTAACGCAATGAGATGTAATTAGACCGGATTTAAGTAATTCGTAATTAATTCCAATTGATAAAAAAAAATATTAAGATCCGGTTTAAAGGAAAATACTATGTCTCAGATTAAAAAAAATAAACAATTTTTTCATCATTTTATCTAATTGCTTTGCTTTAAAAAACCGTTTACCTGATTTTAAATTATAACCTATTTTTCGTATACAGTTTTTTTTTAATTAAATAATTTATAAATATAATCAATATTATGATTTATTATACATTGGCCTCAATGCCTAAATACCAAAAAAATAAAACCGGTTAACACAAACGCTTAAGCTATCAATTTGAATATGCGAAATGGTTTCATTTCTACATGTAATTATTTACGATGATGACATAACGGATTTATATTGAACTAGTTTGTGACCGTGTGATT